ATATCTATATTGAATTCTTGGCGACTTAAGGTTTCGAGACCGTATTGAACAACAGTGTTTCTTAGAAGAAGAGAATTTAATATTGGGGTGCAAATAGGACCGGTCTTTTTTACTATGACTTTTACTGAGTAGCTAAAGTTACAAATTTTTGTCATATTCAAGGATTTTTTTAATTAGACTTTCGTTATGGTGATTTTAATTTACAGGCGAAGAAGTGAATCTAGGGAAAAGAAGGAGAAAAGGAAAAAGCACTCATCAAGTGACAGTGATTACAGGAAATCCTCTTCTCCATCTAAAGTACTTTTGCAGATTTACAACCTTGGTTCCTGTGTTTTAGTTTTATTCAGTACAATGATCTCCTAACAAAATTTCTTTATTTTAACTGTCTTCTTAGGGGACTGGATCTGTTTTATCCCCGAGCCGCAGCAACGGTGATACTTCGCCTTTGGAAATACGTTCAAGTATGAGCGAATCGGAAAAAGAGCGTATTGAGGTTGAAAATAGACGGCGAAGGATTAGACGGACGGCGAAGCTACACAGGTAGAAGGTTTTTCTTATTTGTGGCTTATTTTTTGTAGACAGCAATAAGTTGTTCACCAGCATCATTTTTTTAAATATTTCCTACTGCCTATGTGAATTATTTTCTACACGTACGACCACCAGCTTTTCAATTTTGAATGAATATTTGCTTTAATGAAAAAGCAAAAATAAGTTGCTGAGTTGCTTTAATTTCAATTTACGTTTATTTTAAGGAGGAACTTTTGATAACATTTTTGCTCATTTTATGTTTGCAGTAGATATCAAGAAAATCAGTACATTTTTCGTTATTAATTCTAGGGTGAGGTGGTCATATGAGTTTTTCCTTATTTCTTTCTCTTCTCGTACTTGCAAAAAATAGGTTTTTTTTGTGTTTTTAATACATATCTTTTTGATAACTTAAGGCTGCAACATGGTGATCGTCAAAGCAGGTCTCCGAATGAAGATGAAAATGAGAAGGTCAGTTTCAGTCTCATACTGTAATTTTGTACTTATCCTTATTCACGAAGTTGTTCAATCAATTATTTGCCGCTTGCACATTTTTAAGAAGGCTGTGCTTGCACATAAGCTGCGGGTTCAGATGCAGAAGGCTCTTAGAAAAACTGCTGAAGAGTTAAAGGAGGAAGAGAGGATGAAGCAAGAGGAGCAGCTGAGAGAGCGTCGGGTATTAATTTTATTTCTATTCAGATGTTTACGAGGGTAATACATGATGCATGGGGTTAAGAAGGAATTTAATTTTTTGATTTATCGAAACAGAGATCAGCTTTGAAAAAGCTGCTGGGGAATGTTGCTGGTTTTTTATATGTTTTGATTGGGTAAAACTGGAATAAGTCATAATTTTTATGTAATAAGTTTTATTTTGATAGTCTATCGTTTTGGAGTAAGAGGTCAAAGTTAAATTTGTGTATATATTTTTCTTTTTTGTTTTTATTAATTTATATGAGAGTGGAACGGACAAGAATTTCAAATGATCATTAACCTTTTATTTTTACAGAAACGTGACGAGACACTTTATGAGGAGTCGTTAGAAATCAGGCGACGGTTCGTTTTTTAAACATCTTGATCTGGGTTTATTTAAACTTATTTGGTTTGATGTACGCCTGACTGAAAGTTGAAGTACTTTCGAAACTTTTGTCTTTAGTGAGCGTGAAAAGCGACACCGTGAGTGGAGAAGGCGACGAAGCTCTAGCTCTTCAGACTGACAGAGCGGTTGACCTAGATAAATGGTCTTGCTTTTATAATTTAAATTTGTTTGTTAGTGGTGTTATAATGAATGGTGTTTTAAATTTCTACAATTTTTGCATCTTTCCTCACATTTAGCACTGCTTGTCACCACGCTGGTTAGTTTTTGGATCTGTGGTACTTTTTAGGTTCTAAAAAATGCTTACAACGTTGCTTATGACATACCTGCTGTTGTATTTCTGCTTTAACCTTATTTTCAACACAAAATTAGGGACACAATTTTGATATGCTTTTGAGTTATATAGTCTCCAGATGCATTATTTTGCTTTATAACTGTGAATTTATTTCCAGCTTTTCAAAATTTCTCTGTTTTTCTTTATGATTTTTCAGTGATAAAGCGGATCCTCGAAACTTGTTAGCTCAGCTTTAAAGTAACTGCATTAGGGTTGTACACAAATTGTATACTCGTTCCTATATTATAAGAAGTTTTTAATATTTTGAACTGTTTCGTAAATTTCCGGTTGTTACTCATCTTTTTTGATTATTGCGATCCTCTGCCTATCAGTTTCATTAATTTTTAAATTTTTAGGTCGTCTACATGTCATTTTTCTTTAATTAGTAGTAAGTTGGTTTAATTTTGTTAGAACGATTCAGTGCAAGAGCAAATTGTTATAGCATTTTTGACGCAGAATGAGTAGAGGCAGTTTTGTTTTGGACATTTGTCGTTGCTAGAGATAACCTTTTTTTAAGCCTAGGAATGTTGAATCAGAGTAGTTTTTTTTTGTTTTGAGGCAACTTGAATAAATGTTGTTGGGGCATTCTATGTGTTTGGTTTTCACTTTGTATTTGCAGGAGGCGGGAATTAGATGGTATGAGATTTTACATAAAAGCTTGATAGACTTGGCGTTCCTGTTATTTTTTGAGGTAACGCTGATTGTAAATTTAGGTGAAGTAATTCCCGGAGAAGTTTGGGTTAAAGAGTGCTTTTGCTGGAGCAGGTTGTGGCTTCTAGTACCGAATTGTTGCTTGGTAGTGCTTTGTTTTGATCTGCGACTTGGCTAGTGTTTGCAAGCCATGTTAATAATGTGTTTTCTTCAGCTATGCAATAGTGAGTGGTTGGTGCTAATGAGGTGAGCGTCTGGTTTTAACAAAAGTGGTCCTCCAGTGTGTGTTATTGAGTAACTTGGTGGGTGGTAGCGCGTAAAGTGTTTACAGGGGTGTTTAATTTTGTTTAACCTGAAGGATCAAGGCACTAAATAACTTCTTTCATTCACTGCAAGAACTCAATGAAAAGGGTGTTTTATATGTTACATTTTGTTACTTATGTTTCTCATGTCCTCTAGAAAACCGTTATGGCTCGTTTACTGTAACTTTTTTTTAAGGGTGAGTTGAAGTAAGTTTCCCGCTAATGTATCAGAAAAGAATGAATTAGGTAGAGGATCAGCACTGAGGGAGAAGAAATGTGAGTAGCACTTTTAGCGTGTCTTCGACTCCTGAGGTGACGACAAAATTTTTGCTGCTTAGACAGATCTCGTGAAGTTGTCCCTCGTTTGCATTGTGCTGAATAAAAAAAAATTAGAGGATTTAGCGGGACAATAACGGCGACCGTCATTTACATGGGAATAATCGCTCATTGATGTTTCTATATATTGCCGCTGGGCGGCAAATCACCACGATGAGAAAGATGGAAAACTTGAGTGAGTTGTGCAAAAAGTCACTGAAGATGAAATATGATAACAGCAAGTATTGTAATACAGAAAATCAATAAAATTGGTTTCAACTTCCTGGTTTTCTAGTCTTACTAATTCTATTCTTTCTTGTCGAATATACGTTTATTTGAACTTTTGCACATGTCTTCCAATAAAAGTGGTAAAAAATGCTCTGGAAATAGTAATTTCAGGATTGTTATGGTAAAATAGTTAAACTTTAGCGGGCCTTTATCTGAAGAAATGAAATTCTTGAATTAATGCTTGGTTTAGGATTTATTATTTATTTCAAATAAGTGTTCTTTATAAAATACGAAAGGAGCTGTAAGGCATTGAAGTTTCAATAGAGCCTTGAAAACTTTGTATGAAAAACCCAATAAGTTTTTTTGAGTGCTTAAAGAAAGTTTATTAGTCGAGCCGTTTGGCTAAAATGTTTTCCGTTTTCTTTCATTGTTCTGTTACGTATATTCGCGGCATAATCTATTTTTCATACTTGTAAGAGATAGTTATTTTGTCTTACTTAACTAAAAAGATTTCATCTTACTGGGTGCTGCAAGGACTTTTTGGAGGAAAGAATAGTGCTGTTGGAACAGGAGCTAATTTTTAAGATTCACGCCAGATCTGATAATTGAATTTTTCTTTAAAAAATGGTAGTTTTGGTAACATTAGGGAAAAGTTTATTTATCAGGCAAGTATAAGCAATCGTGGCAATCCGAACTAAAGCACATTGCTTTTGAGAAGTTTGGAGGATAGATGCTGTGGGTCAATTTTCACGTTAAAAGTTGCAAGAGATTGACTGATCAAGCGGTTTTGAGGAAAAAGGAGTTTGCAGGAGAGCAACAGTGAGAACAAAGGAGATTATCGAAAAGGAATAGTTGAACATCAACAAGGATGGAATTTACGGAGTTGAGTGCTGAGGATAATCGTGCAAGAAGCTGAGGTAAGAGCTAAATTTGAGGTTAGAAAACGGTAAATTGGACTTTTAGCTGCTACTTTTAGCTGTGACTCTTAGCAATTGTTTACAATACCACTTGGATCTCTTCTTCTAAGTGGATGCAACAGATTGCAGAAACATATCTCATGGGTGGAGGAAAATCCAAAAAATTCTAGTTCACTGGCAGACTTATCGTTCATTATGCATCTATGAAGTATGTTGTAATGTATCAGAATCAGTGAAGTAATATAAATATCCATGTTAGGAAGCCAGACTCGTTTTTTTTTTTGATATTGAGGAATGGCCTTTTCTAGCATTTGGAATACTCACTGTGAACAGGAAATGACTCAGGACTCTGATCGGTTCGATGAAACTGTGTTATATGTCTTTTACAGAGACCTTTTCAGAGGAAAAATCCTTTGACGTGAATTTTGAAGTAAAAATTAGAATTCTTTTCATCAGACTCTTGTCACCATGTGAGAGGAAGCCATTTTCTCGGAAATTTTTCAGGTTATTCAATGCAGTGAAAAGGCGCCTTTCCGATTCCGTGATGGCAACAATAAACTAAGTAAAAATTTTTGGTTTGAGATTGTAAACTCAGAAGTTTTTTGGAAACTTAAAGCAATTAAAGGACAGCCTGAAAACTCGATACACGGTGGTCCTCCTACAAATAAAATTTTTTTACAAGACTTCTTTTGCAGCATGAACGAACTTCATCGTCCGCGCACTGAGACTGCAAAGTGCAAGCTATTCTGTTAAAACGAAAATGTTTTATGGGAAAGATTCAGTAGACTAAATAATCCATCCAGTTCCTTTAGAAAGGCTGCTTCTGTTCAAAAAAAAGTTGATTTGGTTATTTATAATTGAATATCAGTTTTACTTACACGGCTGAGACATTCGAAGAGCGTCTTTATTAAACTGTTCGCGTCACCTTGAACAGAGCCCCTCAGCAGTTGGAGATATGTAGGCGTGCATTCTGTCTGAACGATCTTTCACCCCGCAGTCTGCTTTTGTAGTAGAGTAGGACAAGGGCTAGCTTTTACCGTTTAGAAAAAATCTTGCACTTGAGTTCTCTAAAGATTTTTGTTCATTTATTTATTGATTCTTGCTTAAATTTTCGCAGCACTTTCATCAGTGTGAGATATGTAGAGAAATTATGGTGTCTACGATGGGCTGGTGATTTCGCCATTTATGTTGTGTTTTACTTTGCCAGTTGACCCTGCACTTTAATTATGACGGTTACAGGCTGCAACACAGCATGAGGTCCGTCAGAAAGGTTTATTTTTCTTTGGGGTGGTCATCCTAAAGGAAGCCCTAATTAAATGCTACAGTAGGAGGTTTCTTACTGCCAGGTTGTTTGCCATGCAAAAAAAAAAAAAAAACACCAGATTTATTTCATAGTTTACTGTACTTGTGTAACGACCAACGAGAAGTCTTTTATGCTATACTGTTAAATCACCATGGAATTTTGCGGTGAAAAAAAAAAAATGAATGTTATGGGTTTACTTATGCACAAAATTCAAGAAAAGAGGAGCTTTGTTGGTAGAATACGTCTTTTGGTGTTTTTGATGAGAACTTTTAGCGCCTAAGTTAAAGACCAACTAACTTTGTTGGATAGTTCATAAAATTAGCGTAATAAAGTGTGACAACGGTGTATTAGAGTTTTCGTTTGCTTAATTCGCATTAGTACGTTAAATGTTCTCCGCCTGTTTCGTATCAAAAATTTTGAAAGATGACTTTAAATTTTGCTCAATATTGGCTAGAAGTTTTGCGAAAGATGGAACAAATTGAGATAGCCGATAAATTAAGACTGCACTGGTGGAATTACTAAGTAAAAAGTTTTATTTTTTTACTGTTAGTATGCTTAATCAATGAGTTTTA